CATTCAACCAAATATCCTGACTCCGTTTTAATTCACCCCTACACTCTGACGCTGTCATAACCCAATAACTTGACTCCAGCTTCAACAAAACGATATATATATTGATTTTTAAGATTTATTTATTTTTATAGAGTAAATACAAATATTTTAACCATAAAACATTAAATAACAAAACAACTTTGTTTTGGAAAAAAGTCGCAAAAGTATCCCCTTTCTCTTACTTTTAAAAATATCATTCACTCTCTAAAATCTTGACTTTTACGCTCACTGACAAATCTTTTATAACCAGTACAAACTATAGGAACTTTTATTATGTAAAATGCTATACATTCCCAGAGTGTTAAAACTCAGTTTTCAGTCGAAATGCGTAATAATTACGATTCTAGCTAATGTTAGTTCTTTTTAGCTTTGTCTTTTGTACTGATTTTTGTAGTAAGAACGTCAGAAAAGTATATTTAGTTTGCTGTACTCTTTACCAGGTTCATACTTAGTCTGCTCTAAGGGGATAGCTTGCTCTGATCAAAAGTTAAAATTAATAACCAGAAACTTTTTCTAATGAAAATATCTCAAAACCTTATTAAGTGTATTGTAGATCTTTGATGACTGAACCTCATATTAAGAACTATAAAAATTTTCAACATAAAGAACGAAACAGAGAACATCTTATTCTCACAGACTTTTGCAGTTCAGAAATCTTTATTATCAGTGTGAGCTTGTATTGGTACTGGTGTTGTTGTTTTTTACAGGAAAGATGGCCTCACTGCCTGTGTCAGTCCATCGAGCACCTAGAAGGAAAGATGAAAATCTGAAACAAAGAGAAGAGTAAAATTGATCTTTGATACAGTGCATGTAATAACGAATTTAAACCTCGAAACTTACAAACAAGGGATAGGTGAAGGATGAATAAATTAAATACGTGTGACAATTTGACGATTATCTGATTGTTTATCAAGAAAAATAAGTAAAACAGTTTTTGTTTGTTTCAGCGCAAAGCTAAATATTGGGCTATCCGCGCTTTATCAACCGCAGGGAATCCAACCCCGGATGTTAGCATTGTAAGTCCGAAGACTTGCAGCTAGCACACCGGGGGACACAAAATAATGAAATGACCTCCAAGCGAAACATATGTTTTTCTGCCAAAGCGTAAGTATAATTTATTGATAGGCAAACTTGCTTTGTTCTTCCATGTATAAAGCTTTAAATTAGGTTATTTAAGCTATTCATGTCCATACAATAATAATAAGAAAAAAATCAATACCCCCTCTAATTACTGAATTGTTTTCATACCGTTCACCAAAGGTGGGATCCATATATATTGCATCATATTGAGTAATTTTATGTTTTGCCTATGATAACGCACTGATAAAATCGCTTGTTGTAAAATACGCAGGAAGTCCAATTGCAATTAGTTGTATTAATTACAGTATTGATTCTTCGTTTTTGTTGAAATTGTTTTATCTACTTCATATGTTATTAGATACCTTGTAACCAACAAAGTCATTGAACCAACAAATACATTAGTGCATAAATAGCTTGAAAGTCGTTAGGTTTAGAGTTAAACACTACAGGATGAATCCTGTAATGAATATTGGGTCAAGATTGTTGGCTGAGAGACGAGATAAAAACTGCTTGGTGCTGTTTTGGTGATTAAATAATTTTTGCAGGCTACAAAAACCTGTCAAGTGCAGGTTTAATATAGGTTAAAGTTATGAATGAAAGCAAGGTGAAAGATTAGTCGCTTGTACATCGTAAGACCTACTTTTGCTTTAAAGAGTGGTTTTAGAAAGCGCAGTAGTTATTAGGTGTTTAAAAATAGTAGGTGCAATGTTGCTTATTATTGATAACCCAGGCAGATCTGTGCCATAACTGTAGATGCAAAGTCTGGATGTTTTGGAAGATCCAGTGCTTAGTTGTTGTTTTTCCAAAGTTCATTATATATGTCCTATACTTAACCAAAATCATATGTTGGAAATTCAAACAAAACAATTCAAGACCTCACATAGAACACGATTTTTTCACATTATCATTCAATTTCTGGTTAACTTCTGGTTATTTTGATTTGCTAAAACTAGTGATATTATTTGTTAAATTATTGTTTGGAATAAAATAGATATATTAGTTTCAAGGTACCAAGCAAGTCCAACGTCCTCCAAGAAAATTATAAGAAAAATTAATCTTTTAGCATCAGAATTTCTATAAAGGTAATGATAATAACTCTTGATAATTTTGATCTTCCTGATATTCAGAAAGTCAGTATTCAACAAAAGTGTTTGTGAAATAATTACATTAAGAAAAATATGATTTAAGATAAAACTTTGAAAATGTTAATATCTTTAAAGAAACTATCGCCCCATACCTTTGAAAATATCTTGATTTATTTCGAGAGAATATAGACTAAGTAACTGTTTGTTACAGTTGTTCTCAACTGCTATGCTATGAAACAAAGACAGGTAAAACATATATATATATATATATTATATTTCATGGACAGAGATTATACAAAATATGCACATAAAGACAAAATGGAATTACTTTCAATTAGAAAGTACTTAACAAAGTTTTTACATTACTTTTAATTCCCAAGTTTAATCGCGATTTTAAAGCTGACAGAGATGGCGACCCGATTACGATATATGTAAAGTTAATAGTTAAAAAAAATATAAGAAACAGTTGTGGAAAATATTAAAATCTTTTTAAGAAGCTATCATTACTATATAAAATTATGAACGAAAAATATAATTACATTGAACTATTTTAATGATTAATACTGATCTGAAAAAACGTTTGTATTAATAATGAAGGTAATTAAAATCGCAAACATATAATGGAAAATGGAGAAATATAGTAAAACAAACTACAGAAATAAAACAACAATAAGAGATGACACGACCAAATGAAACAACAATAAGAAGATGACATGACCAAATGAAACAATAATAAGAGATGACACGACCAAATGAAACAACAATAAGAGATGACATGACCAAATAGAACAATAACAAGAGATGCCATGACCAAAGGAAACAATAATAAGAGATGACATGACCAAAGGAAACAACAATAAGAGATGACATGACCAAATGAAACAACAATAAGAGATGACATGACCAAATAAAACAACAATAAGCAAAGACAATTACAAATGACGAGGCAGCTTAATAAGAATTTATAGAACTATTGTCGAAATATTCAATACTTTTAATTGATATAAAATCTCACTGTTTGCAAGATAGAATATAAAACAGAATATTTACTAAGGTTTTGTATTTGGTTAATTGTGGATCAACTGTAATAATACATTTAGGTGGATGAATTTACATACTGCTGCTCATCTGTTAATGATTTCGTTTTCCAACAGAAGGTAAGCAAGCAAACTACTTATTCTGGTTATCCAGTCTATAAATAATTTGAACTCGATCCGAAATGTTTAGAAACATTCACAGTCCAAAGTCAATCACTTAAAGTTTTACCTGGTCCGTTTCATGACTTCTGGCCTACATTAACATTATTACGAGTTATGCTGGGGCTCTTAAAAAAGTAGGTTACAAGTAAATCACCTGCAAGTCAGACAGCGTTGGACCTGTTTAGGATCGGACTTCACGGTGAAGGTAATTCATATGTAAGAAGGTTACTTGTAGCAAAATAATAATAATAAAGATATACCATTGATGAATTCTGAAACTTGAGTGTTAACACTTATAATGTCTACACGCTAAGTTTACACAAAAGTATTTTCGTATATCGAATATGTAAACAACTTCGGAAACCTTTCATTCTTCTTGTTTGTTCTTGTTTTTTGATAGAATACAATGGCCAATTATTTCAAAGATAAATGAAAGGAGTGAAGAAGGTGAAACATACAATAAAAAGACAAATGAAAGAAGTGAAGAAGATGAAACATACAAGAAAAAGATAAATGAAGAGAGTGAAGAAGAAGGTGAAACATACAATAAAAAGTTAAATAAAGGGAGTGAAGAAGAAGGTGAAACATATAATAAAAAGATAAATGAAAGGAGTGAAGAAGAAGGTGAAGCATACAATAAAAAGATAAATGAAAGGAGTGAAGAAGAAGGTGAAACATACAATAAAAAGATAAATGAAAGGAGTGAAGAAGAAGGTGAAACATACAATAAAAAGATAAATGAAAGGAG